CCTGTAGTTCCGGCTACTTGGAAGGCTGAGGCGGAAGGATCGCCAGAGCCCAGCAGGTCGAGGCTGTGGTGGCCGGGAGCGGCCACTGCACTCCAGTCTGGGCGACAGAGTGAGACTCCAACTCAAAAAAAAAAAAAAAAAAATTGTAGCATAAATATTAACTGATAAACAAAGTTCCACTGTAGCTATTTGCTTTTAATTTTAACATAAACTAACAATTCACTAAATTCAATTATTTTAAGCTAATAGATTAATCTTTTTGCTGTTCTTTCATACAAGTGATTTCAAAATGTGTGCAATGAAAAACATTAGTTATAAACTAAATTAACTGTATATAGTCTCATAAGAAAAAAGGTAGGTGATCAAAATGTTGATCATTTGAATAATATCAGTACACAAAATACTTCCTTTAAGGTCTCTGTTGTTATAACATTTAATTGACAAAAAACTTAATGCTTAAAAGGGAAAAAAACCTGCCAAGTATAATTTTGAATGATTATTTCCTTCAGTTTTTTTATATCATTTTACCGGATTCATAGACTAGCTAATAACTTACATAAGTGTTGTCTACCAAATGTCATTATTTACATGCCTACCCTATGTCCTTGTCACCATAAATGTCTGTAAAATGGGTTCCAATTAGAGGCTTTCCTTACCCTTCTTGTGCCAGTTCACCAACTTACTCTTAAGTCAGGTTCACCAGATTTTAGTGTTACCAGGGCTGCTTCGGTTGTCTTGACAGCTCCCTCACAATTATAGAGAGAATGATGACCCTGATTTTGCTTATGGCCTGGGAGAACCTATACCTCTGCAAAACGAGGGAAGCCCCTCCCCACATACTAGATTCTTCCCGTCATCCTTTGAGAGAATTGCTGGGAGAGATACTGGAGAGAGTGGTTATGACCAGGAACTGTTCCCAGGGACTCTCCTAGAAGGGCAGGGAAATCCTGTACTCATAAAAGTCAAAGAAAAAAATTAGCCCATCACAAAGTTTAAAAATGACCATAACAGAGACTTTCCCTAATTTGCTATCTCTCCCAGGCATCTGCGAATCAAACCCAATTAAAATTCCAGTAATAAACAGGGGGAATATGTTTTGTTCAAGCAAAATAACAGAGTATTTTAAGTAGCTTTTTCTAAAATTTCTGCTAAAAATGTCTGCATGCTTTTATAGCAGTTTGCTTTAATATATGAGATACCATCAGGTATTGGTTTACTGAGCTGCTTGTGGCACTTCACATTTCTTTTCTTAAATATAAGCAATTTCCAGCTAAGCCTGTTCAATCTTAGTAAATGACATGAATAAAGTTGCTGTGAACTCTCAAAAAATTGAACATCCTACAGGATCTGCTTCAGTGTCATCTATCAGCCTAACCAAGGGCACCGATGATGTGCCCGTCCCCCCTCCTGTTCCTCCTCGAAGACGACCAGAATCTGCCCCAGCAGAGTCTTCGCCATCGAAGGTAAAGTAGAAAATCGGTTATCTAGAAATTGGAACCATTACAGTTACGTTGTGATAAGTTGCTTATGTCTAGCTGAGTTCTTGCTGGGACGGGCTAGCATTTCAGAGTATCTGGGCTTAAAAGTTTAAACAAGGATTCAACATGGATTTAGCATGCAGTAACGTTTGTTTCTTTTCTAGGCAGCTTTTGGGTATGTTTTCAAAATCCTGGTGAACTTAAAGAATGGGTATTGTAAAGGAAGAAAACAAGGTTCAGCCTATAAACTGAGAGTAACTTAACCTCAAGCAGTTCTTTGAAAACAGAGAGACAGAAAGAGAGAGAGAGAGCTGAGAGAGAGAGAGCTGATGCCTTGGATGAAGGCACATTATAAGTGAAACTGTCTTAGCATAAGCTAAAAATACCTCATCTGAGCCCTTCGCAGAGAATCTGCCCTGCTTTTCGATGAAGTTTTCATGAAAATTCTGGGTTGGAAAAGACCCTAGAGGCTCAAAATAGCTGTTTTTTCCCACTTGTTTTCATTGTGGGGGGGCAGCTGGTAACTGAATTCACTGATTCTTAAGCTGGGCAGAGGGCAGAGCACCCGAAAGCAGCCACTCCGCGCGGAGCTTCATGGGGCGTTTGGTAGAGAGGTCATCTGGCACTGAAACCAAGAGGTAACCTAGGCTGAGTCGGAAGCACGCTCGCGTTAGCCTGAGCGATAGGCAAGCAGTTGTAAACAACGTTTCGAGAGGAAAACCGAGGGTGAAAACTTGGGCAAATCGTGTTCTACGAATTGGCAGAGGCTCCCGGTTAAAAGCCTGTGCCAGAATCCCCAGCCACACCCGCGTCCTGCCAGCAGCGTGTCTGAGAACCCCAACTCCACTCTTCACATGCAGGGTGCTACGTAAAGTACTTTAGTAATGAGTGTGTGCTTTCTTCTTCGTTTCCTCTGTTAGATTATGTCTAAGCACTTGGACAGCCCCCCCGCCATCCCTCCCAGGCAGCCCACGTCAAAAGCCTATTCGCCGCGCTACTCCATCTCAGACCGGACCTCTCTCTCAGACCCTCCTGAGAGCCCCCCCTTGCTGCCGCCACGAGAGCCCGTGAGGACACCCGACGTTTTCTCCAGCTCACCACTACATCTCCAGCCTCCCCCCTTGGGCAAAAAAAGCGACCACGGCAACGCCTTCTTCCCCAACAGCCCCTCCCCCTTCACACCGCCTCCTCCCCAGACGCCGTCTCCTCACGGCACGAGAAGGCACCTGCCGTCACCACCACTAGCGCAGGACGTGGAGCTCCACGCCGTGGCCGGGCCGCCCGTTCCTCCGCGGCAGAGCACTTCTCAGCATATCCCCAAACTCCCTCCAAAAACTTACAAAAGGGAGCACACGCACCCCTCCATGCACAGAGACGGCCCGCCCCTGCTGGAGAATGCCCACTCCTCCTGAGCGCCTCTGTCCCGGGACGTGTGTGGTCCCAGCCCAGATCCATTGCTGGCGATGGATGCACTGAGTGTGCCAGCACTGAGGAGCTAGAGGAGAACTCCAAACACTAAGGACTCTGCGTCAAGACGCAGTGTGAGACCATGAATTTTAACCTGAACGTGACTATCCGATGAAATGGTGTTCCGGTTGCGAGTACGGAAAGACTGATCGAGAGGAACTGGACGACTGATTGCACCTGAAAATCGCGTCACGGGACGTTTTCCGGCCAATAGGCAGGAGTCCTCTTTTGTGAAGTGATCTTTATCGTTAAAGGGATGGAAAACACAGTCTAGTGTCCAGCAGGCCCACGTGATGACAGTTTTTTGTAACTCAAAATATTATGCACTTTTAAAAAAATCTTAAACAGGGATCTTAATATCCTCCTTTGTTTTCCTTTGCTTTACTCTTCTACTTTAGAATATTTTCTTAAAAAATCACTCAAAGGACTGTGAGGAAAGGCTGTGGTACCTGACCTTGTCACAATCAAGGCCCAGCACTGTACTACAGTCCTGTTTACAGATTATTACAGTGACTCGAATGGGTACCGAGGCTTCACCAAAGAGGTACTTTTTTGTTGTTTTTTTTTTAAAGAATAATTATACCAATTTTAAGAGCATTCCCCCCTCCTACCCCACACACCCAAACAAAATGTGGTGGTGTTGCCTTCAAACAAGAGAAGTTTTGTGTCATTAACGTGACAGAAGAACTTTTTTTTAAATGTAACTGTCAAGTATACTGTTTGCATCTAGGAGACTGTTAATCTCTGCTAGATTGTCATTCTCCCTGTCTCCTACAAAGGTTTACTGGTCATCCATGCCATGGCTCATAGCTGTCCTCTAACCGCACCATGGAAACGCAGGCACGTGATGAGGAAAGAAGCACTTGCTGGGCCTCCCTGACACCACTCATGTGTTACTAGTAGCTGGGTAACCGGCATACCCAGAATTACCTTGCATTGCCTAAGTCATGTGTATATAGTGAATGTTATATAATATACCTGGCAGGTCTGTTTTAATTTAATTAAATAAAGATACAAATACTTTGTTTGGCTGGCATATATTAAATTATTATATGGAGAAAATGGTCGATTCTTATTTCTTTCAGTTGAGAAACACACAAAAACACTAAGCATAAACGCACGTCTCGTGGTACGCCCTGGTCTCCAGTTCTGGATATATATGTATTGATCTTAAAGAATGATCTAAAGTCGCAGTTGGGCATGTAGGAAAATACTTGGTTAGAATAGGGTGGGTATGTCTTAAGCAGAACTTCGTTTTTTAAGTTCCTACACAACGTGTATACAGTTGGTTAAGGTTTATATTGAACATTCTGCCTTGCTTGAAGTCTTCTGCTCTATCAGAACTATTCATACCAGAACATCTACCTGCATCATTACTATCTTAATGTGGATTATTCCTTAAGCCTATGGACTGCTCTTCTGAGTCTAACAAATACTGTGACTGAAATGCATGCATCTTGTTGAAGAGAAAACATTTTCTTAACCTCCACTAGGATGTCTGTGAAATGTGCAGAATTGCATCCTTAGAGAGTCATCAGTTCATCAGTATCTGCATGTGTCTTCTGATAATGAAGTAACATTTCAGCAATTCTGTTAACCACGCCATTAGAGACATTTTTAGAAGTGCTGCAACATGGTGGAAACCTAGTACTTTAATAATTTCCTGTGATATTTATTAGAGCATTAAATGTACATCACGACAGTACAGTACATGATCCTTTAAGACCAGAAAGTATGTTAATTGCACCATCATTAAGCAGTCTGTCCTATCTTTCCTTATTTATTTGAGTTGAGTTCTTTTTGTTTAATATCTGTGCCATTCCTGTTATGATAGCCATTTTTCTCTTTAGAAAATGATTTCCCTTTTAAAAGTGTCCTAAAACATTAACTTCACATCCCTTCTTGGATGCAAATTGTCCATGAGACCATGCAACATTATTTACCTAAGCATGCTTACTAGTGCTGCTACAATTAATCATGCTACACATTCCAGAATCTTCCATGACTTTGTTTGGCCGACTTCATTGTCCCTGGGACTTTCCTTTTTATGACTTATTGATTGCTTTTGTATTGCCCCACCCCCACTTCAAATGAGAACCTGAGAAAAGTCACATTGGAGCCCATTCAGTATCTCTCCAGCTAGTGTGTTAGTCTTCAGCAAGGTGATGACCCCTTTTCAACCTTCCTGATCCTATAAAGAGGAAAAACTCAGATTTGGGGTTCTAATATTTCTCCCAAAGGGAACCATTCTTCTATCCCGTGTTCTAGGAGACCACTTCACTGTGCAACAGTTTTATATGCATCGTGAATAGAGGATATTTTTATTCTGAAGTGTGACATTTGGGTAAAAATATTTTCTGCAGTGGTAACTGACTTTAAAAATTCCAATTTGGATGTCCTTAGGTGGAGGTGAGAAAACCGTATCCTTGCCTTCTCAATGTGAAACATTAACCAGTTGACAAATGTTTCCTTTGTAGTAACTAAAATATACTTAATCAGGGACAAGAAGTGGCAGAAAAGATAACTGCATCATTTCAAAATTCTGCTTTTGAATCTAGGACATTACAAAGGAGTCAGTGCAGCATGACTTTTTGTTAACCATGTTCCAAAATGTGGAACATTTCTTTTAGAAATGGAAATGTTCCCAAATGTTTCATTATCTTTGAATCACAAAATGAAAATATTTCAAGGCTGAATTTATGTAGTGGGCTGGTAACCAATATAAATAGAAAGGCAAGCTTTTCACATGTAAGCACTTTTTAAAACAGGAACAGATTTAAAAAAAAAAATAGGTTTCTAAATTTATTAAAAGATTGAAGCTATGTACTCTTCCCAGTCCTCCAAATGTATTTTAAGACTACAAATGATCAAGAAATATATCAACATTAAAAGTTTGCTTAATTAAAGGTTATTGGCATCAAGTTATACGTTTAGTGGGTTACTATTCTCTAACAATTCAAGGATGCTTTAATGGCTCTGAATTTAGCAAAGAGCATGCCACACTAAGGCTACAATCCACAGAAAAGTCTAGTGAACAAGTAGTGTGTCAGCTGGAGGCCATGTCATGGTTCTAAATTCCTAATGGTTTTTCTTCATAAATCAAAAATTACCTTACATAAGCCAAAAATTAGCTGGTATTTATGATGAGGATCTTAATTCTCAAGCTTAGCTTACTTTAATCTTGTTTTTCATTGTTTGTCTTTTAATATGACAGCTTAAATTCAGATCTTTAAGTGGCTCAGCAAAATAAATGGGAGGTGACCCAATTCATTAGTGTTGTACATAGTGAGGAAAACCTTTTTGTTCCACCAGATTTAGAAAGAAACATATATTTCTTGGTATTCTGCTGCTGTAGATAGTTCACACATTCTTTTAACCTGTATTATGTGACTGTACAAGTAGGTCCTGTTGTATTGCACATCAATCTTTACCAGTAAATAAACATCAAAAGGTTAATATTGGTTTGGCTGAAAGAGAATTATGCAGTAAAATTATTTTTAAGGGAACATGATGGTTTTATTTATTCAACACTTTTCTCTTTTGAAACATCTCACTATGAACTTTTAAGATCATTTCTAAATTCCTTATACATGAGCCAGTGAAATACTTTGAGCTCTACTTAAGAAGCATGAAGTCTATACAATAAATCTAAACAGCAAAAGCACTTGTAACTTGTTTTGTAAATTTCATGCCTTATTTTCCATTTTTGACACCGTAAAGTGCATTTTCTGTCGACTGTGAGCAAATTTCCCTTTTGCCTTTAATGAAAATAGTGCATTAAGTAGCCAATTGCTGCAGAATTATAAAGCAAGTTAGCTGCAAGTGGGTCATATTGGACTACCACTCAAAGAACAAACGCTTAACGGATGGAAGGTACAGGCGGTGTGGCTTAGGGAGAGCACCTGTGCCAGATGCATGCCACTTTGAGTAGCTGCCAAATGTGCCTTTAATTAAGAACATCTCTAATTGTTTTCTTCAGATCAAGTCAGCATTTGGGGGCGGGATTAGGGCAGGGGACTCTGGGGTGCAAATATCTGGTGAAGCCACCAGAGAATTTGTTTGTCAAAGTGACATGTATAATTTTAGTTGAGACGTGTTTGTGTATATATGTGTATTTGCCTTTGTTTAGTAGCACGGTTATTTGCTAAAATAATGTCAAAAAATTGCTGTCAGTCTTACTTGATGTAAGAACAAAGTGTGGTCTCGACATCTGACTCGGCCTTTGTACCTAACTTGTCCGCAGGTGATCTTTGTATTCTGTGTGCAGCAGTGTTTGGTTTGCATTTAAAGTGAAAATAATGGCTGTTGTTTTTCCGGCATTACTAAGATAAACTGAAAAATAATAAAGAAAAATGCCTTACATAGCCCACAAGTGTATTATTTTGCATGTGTTTGTTTTAGAAGGAATACTGTTCAAGTCGTTAGTGATCCTCAGTTAGCTCTGCCTGCCAAATAGGAATGTTTTGCATTTTGCCATGGTCTGACTTTGGAGACACTTTTTCCTGGGTCAAGTCATTATAAAAGGATAAAAGAAGTTCCATATTTCCTTATGTGTCAAATCCTATAGGCGTAGTGAGTGGGAGGCCCTTGGGATGAGAATTAGTCATTCATAGTGGTCTTGAGAGTCACCTGGATGCTTTCAGAAGACAGGCATGTGTATTCCGCAAGAGTTTTAAGAGGTCACACTTCTCTGACAGGCAGCTTTTGCTGAGACCTGCTGGAATGAGACAGCTTGACCTTTAGCAATTCCCTCAAAGCTTAGCTTGCATGAAAAGACACGTTTAAGGTTTCAAGTAAAGAATTAACGCAAATGTGAGGTCAATCAAGATGAACTAGAATGTAAAAGTTGATGAATCTGGGCAGAGCATGGTGGCTCACACCTGGAATCCCAGCACTTTGGGAGGCTGAGCCGGAAAGATCACTTGAGTCCAGGAGTTCGAGACCAGCCTGGGCAACATAGCAAGACCTCCTTTCTACAGAAAAAAAAAAAAAGATAGAAAACTTAGCTGGGCGTGGTTGTACACAGCTACTTGGGAGGCTGAGGCGGAAGGATCGCCTAAACCCAGGAGGTCGAGACTGCGGTAAGACATGATTGTGCCACTGTAATCCAGCCTGGGCCACAGAGTGAGACTCCAAAACAAACACTGACGAATCCTTAGAGAGCCAATCCCCCTATTTAAAAAGGCAAGCGAGACCTGGAGAAGTGAGATGACTTGGCCAACGTCACATGGCTGTCGGTGATGGAGGACACCTACTCCACTTTGGTCCCTAGTCTTTGGAGGACTGTTTTCAGGAATATCTCAAAGTAATTAGTTTAAAGACATGCTATCCTTGATTTATACAAATTCATTTGGTAGACAACATGAAATCCAAGCATGGATTATTGAGGTATTCTAGGTAATCAATTTCACAGCTACAGGAAAACAATGTTAACATTGTCAGTTTAACTTGATTCTGAATTTGCTTCTGAAATGTCACTTTTGCATTTTAACCAAGTGATTTGCTTTTTTGCTTATTTTAATCCTGTTGGATCACCACAGATTCAGGGCACTTGTCTGTGGTACAGCCACAGCTAAGCCTGCCTTTTTACAGATAGATACACGTGGCCTCCACAGGCAAGGAGGGCTTTGATAGAGTTCAATTCCAAAGAAGTAGTTGATGGCCATTTTAGCATTTTAGGATTCTTGATTCTTACTGGAGGCAAGAAAAAGTATAGCCCATTTAGAAGCTAATTTCTCTACCCTAGTTACTCATCAAGAAAAGGAAGAATCGATGTGACCACATAAAGCAAGCAGGTGCTTTGGAATCATATCTGTGTTCACACTGCAGTTCCACTCCTTATTATATTAGTGACTTTTGAGGAGTTATTTAACTAATCTGAGTCTGTTTCTCAGCAGTTACAAGGAGGGTAGCAGATCTACTATTTGGGTCTGAGGTTTAAAAGTACTATGTATAAAGCACAACGCCTTTCTCAGAGTCAAAGCTTATCAAACGGTAACTAAAGTGATGAGTTTACCTGCTTTTAAATCTCTTTTTAGAGGTTGGTTGTTTATCTAGAAGAC